AGTAGGCAGCTGCTCTGGGCACTCTGGCGCAGTAGATGTGAAGTTTCGTCCCGCTATCTGTGCGAAGACACCGGAAGTCAGTAGGCCAAGATACACAGCCCAGATCATGAGCGCCGAAGTAGCCTATATACTGTTGGTCATCGCACGCTCACTCAAGGGTCTTGGATGACATGGGAGGTTGGCGTGAACGCACCGATAGGCGACATCATGAGACACCATGTTATCCCCTAAGACCTGTGTACAGGCTGTCTGGTGTTGAAAGGTGATACAGTTGCGAGCCGATCGAAACTGTTGGAAAAGGGAATATCAATGCCTCCAAGTGAGGAATCAAGCCACAAGTCTGGGAGAAGAGTGCGTCAACATTACAGATGAGAGGCATCATGTTTGCTTTATAAGTAATCATATCACCCTGCGGGATGGATTCCTGTTTTGGGCTTCTTCAGGAAGGTAGATCACATGGGCTAAGCCTACTCTTTTCCCTGGAAAAATTACACCTTGTTGGTAAATCAAGCCAAATTCCAAGCGTCTTGGCCTCCAGATTCGAATGTTAGCATACGTAAAGCTCGGATCTGACGGACGGACATCACCGGTTAGGACAAGAAGGAACTGCAACTTTAATTCAAGCTTGACGAAGCGCCTGAGCAGAGATATGGGCGGTATGAGAAGACATTTTTTGGAGAACACAAGCCATGGTGTTCCACCACGCCACAGCCCATTGCTCCGATTCGTTGCGAGGTGTTGATGAGTGAGGGCGTGACGTCTCCGAATTCGGCTTAGCAAGTGATTTTGCGCATCGAAATGCGAGAATACGCAAAATCCAGAAGGGCCCTGGTGTTTTCCATTCCATCTGGGGCCTGGGTTGCGATCGTCGGTTCGTCCAACCCTCTTGGCGAGCCTGTTTGTCAAGTGCTAAAAGTCCTCTCACGACACCAAACAGGGCCTTAGTCTGGGATATCTGTCCGGTTAGTATCAGCCGGTAGATTTGGTGGAGATGACATGGATTTTTCAAATGGCGAGGGCCTTGTTAGGAAACGAAAGGCGAAATTGCAGGAATTGATCTTGACAGTCCCTCCAGATGGATATTGTTTCCCACAGATATCTCGTCAAGCCCCAGGCGGAGCGAGCTTCTCAGCCTTTGACATTGGTGCTTTCGTCCCCTGCATCGTCTCCTTCATCGTCCTCCCCATCCTCCATCTCTTGGTCGTCGTCCTCATCGTCTTCGTCGCTAGAGACGCCTGACCCTTCGCTCTCACCCTCGCTCCCCGGGTCGTAATCTTCTTCGTCCTCATCCTCTTCGTCTTGCAGCTGCAGCTCTGCCTCAGCCTGCGCCTTTTCCAGCTCTGTCCTGCCATCGGTATCTGCACTAGCGTCTGGCGCGACATCGCCCGCGCCAGCTGCCTTCTTTCCGGCCTTTTGATTCTCCCACGAGCTCCATCTTAGCTCGCCTCTGCTCCGCCATGCTGCGGTCCTGCAACCCATTGCGCTTGACGTAGGATTCATCAATTCCCTGGTAGTCCTCCTGGTCCAACATTGCAAACTCGAGCTCTTCGGTCGCGTCGCCCTCGCCAGTGAAAGCCTCGACCACTATGTTGAATGTCCGTTGCAACACGCTCGTGTAGCTCAATGATGAGATCCGTTCCAAGGGGATAAACAGGAGCGGTTTCTTGAAGCCCCAAAGGATGCCGGTCGGCAGAAAGAACAGATACCCATCCTTCGAGCCGCGGAATGCCTTGACATGCACAGCCTTCTCGTTCGGTCGGTGTGGCTGCCTCACCATACTGTGAAACTTGGCGGGATCGGCTGACACTATGTTGATGGGATTTGACGCGGCACGGAGATGGGTCGTCAGCGCCCAGTCGAACAGCGAACGGTATGTGTCGGAGACAGCAGCCGCACTGCTAGCCTTGGGACCGAGAATCGTGCCCTGCTTTGGAGCTGTTGCAGGCACGGTGAAGACGAGAGGCTCAGCCGTCGGAATAGTCGTCTCTGTCTTAGAGGGAAGACATGATCCGCGGGGGAAAATGATGTAGTTATGTTGGACCTGCGTCTTTTCGGGAATTGGGAGGTAGAAGGCGTACTCTAGATACAGCAGAGATTAGCTTTCGTCGGAATAGAAGGCCAGGAGACGGTCAATCGTACCAATGTCTCCCCAGGCGTACGCGATGCCTGCCGCCGGCGCAGTTGTGCCTGGGACGCGAGCGTAGAGGTGGTTCTCGGTGAAGCACAGCTCAAACTTTTTCCGCTGCGGTACCGACACGGAAATCTCCTTAATCTCGAGCTGAACCGGCTCGTCTACTGCTGCCTCTGCCGCCGATGCCGGAACTGATCCTGCGACATTGATGGTTCCGTTTCCATTGGAAGCCTTGAAGCCGTTGGAGGCGTCGACATCGACTCGACGCCGCTTCGCGGCTGGCTCGGGGCCATTTGTCTGTTCGTACACGAAGCTGGCAATGTCGTTAAATAGCGTTACTCGTGACGCCGAATCTGTAAATAGAAAGTCAGTCGCGAAGTGGTCAAGTTGGGGTTTACGCGCAACATACTGGCTTCGCGCTGAATGCCCTCGAGGATGTCCGGTCGCGACTGGAATACAACTCCCAGTCTTTGAATGTCGAGGCCTGGGGCCATGATTGAAGAAGTTGGGCTAGGCAATGTGTGCTCGTTTGGTATTCGTGAAGGCCGGACGATGCGTTACGTCGTTGGCAACCTTTCAAGGGCAATAATGTCGAAAAAGGGAGATTTCGTGCAGATTCGAGTCGGGCTACTGGCCGCGAAGCTGTACGCGCCTTGCGACCAAGTTTTGGTTTTCTGCTCTGCCTATAGGTCTCAAGGCTGTGACGTGCATTGGAGATGGTCCGGGGATAGGTCGGGTAATTGAGCCGCCCGCTTCTCCCACCTTGCTGAGAGCAATAACCGGGTGTATGGTGTACACCTTGATTCTAACAAACAAGCGCCATGGCATGCTTCAATCGGCCTTGAGCATTTCGGGGCCAAATTCAAACGGCTGTTCTATTTACCACACACATCCAGCCCAAGAAGATATATGGTCCAGGCGCATTCTTTGGCCAGCTAAGCAATTGTTTCTCAAACACCCTTGATCTGCCTAAGAACACCAGGCTTGCTTGTGTCACCCTTGGCCGCTGTCATCTCGACAATTGTCACGCAGTGAAAAGGTTTCGCAACGTCCTGATTGAACCTGGTTAGAGCTGGCGACAATCCCCTTCAGCTGCTCATATAGGAAACTTGTTCATGGGAGGCACCGCAGCGGCCGGAAATGTGGTGCCTTTCGCGGACGTTCCGTCCTGCAGGCAGATCTACGTTCGAAAGGGAGCCTTCTCGATATTCAAGATTTCGGCTGGCAAACTGAATTGATCTGTAATGCTCTGATTATTTTCGAAGCATCAGAGACGCTGATTTTCGAGATTGCGACGAAGACAGACGAATCTCTTGTGTTGGGATGGATTTATTGGGGACTTGCCTAGGACTGACGATGCCCATCACAGCCCCTTGCAGGTCGGCGCTTTCTTATCTCAGGGGTCTTATCGCAATGGATCACAGGCAAGCGAGCTCTGACCATCTGGTGCCGAAAGACGGTTAGGGGATCCCACCCCGCATTACGCCAAAACTCCCCCACTGTCGCGTCTCCAGTTACACCCCTCGTTTGGATCGCGACGTCACAAGCGAAGATTGTCGACAGACTCCGGTTCTGTAGCGGGCTCGACAGGGTCATTGCGCAAAGGATCACCTTGAGTTACAAGTTTGAACCATGTCTTTCGCCAATATTTATACACATCGCAAGGTTGCTGACACAGCCGCGAAAGGGTGCGATGTTTGTTACCGATCGACAACCAGTGTGCTTGTCGCCCCAGAGAACAAGGTCAGTCCGTCTACCCAAGGAGGCTTGGAAAATTCCTGACAGTCGTAGGATTTCTTCTTCGTGTGTCCGAGCCATCTAAAGGATAAAAACTTTTGCGCCCCTATTATCGACACGGCAGCCGTTGAGGCCAAGAAGCAGAAAGAGATGGACGACGAGCTCGAGCGCGTGAAAAAAGAATACGAAGAGAGACAACGCAAGAAAAAGGAGAGAGAAGATAAAGAGAAGTCGGAGGACAAGGATAAGGACAAGGACAAGAGCAAGGACAAGAGCAAACAGTCCGAGGATAAGAAATCAACCGACAAGATGGACGATGTTGAGGACGAGGCATGCGCAACGCTTCAGCGAAAGAGAGGCAGGCAGCTAACATATTGCAGAGCAAGTCCGACGTCACAGTTGAAGTGCCAGAAGAGGAGCCTAGGGTTTTCTCCCTACAGAAGTAGGTAGCTCCGGCGATAACCCCGAAACAACCAAGATCGCTAAGATAGTGTCCAGGAACTTCTTTGCCCTGCGCATCGAAAAGAAACGGCAGATCGAACTCGCAAAACGGAACAGAGAGCGTATCGCTCAACCAAACTTCTTCCCTTCCGTACCCAAGGGAGCTCCTAATAGCGGTTGAATGAAAACTGCCTCCGGACGTACTATCGACCTGCGATCAAGTGGAGTTGGGATCAACGAAGAGGGCAAGGTCTCTCTATAACCCCGCGACTAGCAGGGGCGGCAGACCTCCAGAACAGCACCCGCACATGCTGTGCGCCACCCGTAGACCAGGGTATCGTCCACGACATGAAAGGCTTCTATGGGTGCGCGGGGGGCACGACCCAATTGGCCTGTGTACGAGGTGAGAAGATGCAGGCTGACACCTCACCAACGAGACAAGCATGGGGACCCATGAACTTGGAGAAAGCCAGCCGAACCATTTCCTATGCCAAGCCGGTTCTGACGCACAGGAAAGCACATGGCTCCTAATATGCACAGAGCAAGAGCGTGTGGCAGCTCTTGTATGAAGTCTTCTTCTATTTATCCAACTAGGTGGGGTGAGTAGCTTTGAATCACCAACTTCCCGCCGTGCGTCACATCACATTGCCACTCAGCCAGGATCTCTCTTGTATTTGACACATTCCCGATCATTCTGTGTTACCATGCACAGCTCTGGCGCAGCTGCAGCACGATTGTTGGTCCCTAATGCGGCTAGTGCTGACCGGCTGACGTGACTTGGCGGCTACTGCACATCAACGGGCTTCAGCCATCAGCATCAAGCACTGGGCTGACCTGGAACAGTCGCCATGTATCAAAACGATGCCGTCAGCAAACGTGTCGTGCTCACAACTGCTCCAGCTGTCCAATATCTGTGCTGTTGTCTCTCTTCACGTCACACGCCTACTCACTCCTCAGTCAAAGCACTCGTGCCAAGATGCACCGGCCATGTGCGAAGAACGCGCGTGGTACACTAGCCGGCCACTCTTGTAAGAATCAACCATGAGGCTCATGAAGATCAATGGGGGCATGCTTGGGGTTCTTGCGCCATGGGGCCCGCCGTCGGAAATCCACTCTAAATTGAACCAGAATGCCCGAGAGACAACATGCTCTGGGTAACATTGGCCAAGCGGTGTCTCAAGGATGCTGAGGGGGGTCACTCTCGCGTTAAAGCTCGCGTTATCCTCCGGTGCTGCTTTTAGTAACCCTGTCGGTGCCTCTGCAGGGGCTGCCGTCTGCGTGCCATCGATCAAGAAACGCAGGATCTGCGCGGCCCAAGCCGGGCACCTCACGTAGATGTCAAGTCACAATCGCCGATCTACCTGGTCTTTTGCCGAAGCCGACCGTCCTTGCGTCCGGTCTTGTGGGCAGATCTACGCTAGAGGAGGAGCCTTCTAGATATTCAGGGTCTCGGCAGGCAGATTAAAGTGCTCTGTAATGTGTTGAATTTTTGAATCACCAAGAGCCGCTCGATTTCTTCTCCAACACGTAGGCAGGCACGTGAGGAGGACTCGATCCTGGACTAAGTACGCAGGAGTTGAAAACGTCGCGTGAAGCTTGATCGGTAAGGACCAGGTCCGATCAAGTCTCTTTGCTTATGCCCAGAGGTACTTTTGTAGTTTGGGACGTACTTTCAGACCACACCGCGGTGTCAGTCCATCCAAGCTGACACCGCGGGGTAATGCCTATCGCACCCCTCTACCCTTGTCTTGCAGAGGTGTGTACCCGCGGGGCAGCTTACAGTTACTTCCCGATCCCTGATCTGACTAGCTGGCTCGGGAAACACATCTGACAGCCTTGTCATCCGCCAGTCTAGTAAACAGGCAGGCTGAAGCTATCACATGATGTTGCCTGAAACTTCATGTCAGACTAAGCTGATTCCCTGTCATCATTGTGTGTGAAGTGAGAGCTTTGGACGGATGAGCATTGTAATCTCGAAGCGTCATTCTCTCAACATGATTCACCAGCCTGGTGTAAGCCGAGGCGCTAGTATGATGGCTCCTGGTACGAGTCGTCAAAATTCTGGGAATACATATGGAAACCATGACACAAGTCTTTGCAAATCGGAAGCATTCGACAGCAGCCGTATTTAATGGCAGGAATTTCATGTCCTTGAATGGTATAATGAGTTTGGTGCTTTTTCATTTTTCAGTCGTCGGAGCCTTGCGCTGATCCAATCAGTTCAAGAGCTGACGTGAGAAGTGTATGTCTGCAACCCATACACCCATACACACTCACTTAAGGTGCGACTGGGGAAAATGAGCTAGGTGAGCTGCAGGCATGATCTCGAAAATGCTGAAATGGACTTGGCGGCAACACACATTTGGTGATACCAACACGATACTCGTCATAGGCTCGACATCATTCGTCACCAGCAGCCAAAACCTCTTCAGAGGGCGATACCACGACATGTAACGTCTTTCGTTCTATCTGGCCGTCCACTAGAGAACTGACCACAAGACCGTACCGGACTTGTTCTAGTGGTACCCGATGGCAGGGTGTTCAATGCTCCCTGTGTGTCGAAAGTAAACATGTGCACATCTTACACCCCTCTTCCTAGTAAAAGGCCTACCCAGGTTGCATCAACAGACACCTTCCAAGTCTTAGGGCTTACTTCCTGCAGCCTCTCACCCTGGTATCCTGGCAAGCCTCTCACGATGAGCGCAAAAGCACTTGGCTCGGCACGTCGTTAAACGGTACATCCTCCCGTCCCCAGATTCGACGAAACCCGGACGGCTCAAACGGATGAGATCGACAGGGTTACTTCCTCCGGAGCGGGCGCAAACGTCGGGAACCTGGGCCAGGATAGCATCCTCTTGGGCACGGTTTGGGTTCGCGAACATCGTGTCCAATTCGGAGTTCGTGAGCTCCGTGGCACCAATACACAGAGGCCGACACTAGGTCTAGCTCTTCATTACCTAGCAGGACTTAATTGCTAGTACACACAGCGATGATAATATATCACGTGCTGTTCGAGGATAAGCTCACAGTCCTAGATACTCTATATTCGATCAAAGCGGAATTAAACCGTTACTGAGACTCACACTTGTTGCTGGACACCTCATCAGATCACGAAGTCCGACAGTGATGAGGAAACTTCTAAATTCATACCAGGACACCGATGGTTGGGGTTGAGCCACTGGGGGTCGAAAATCTTCATGCATGAGTGTATCATGTAAGTCCTGGTGTGCCAGTGCAACATCCGAAGCATGGGCAGGGCTGGTTTGTTGCGCTTGCACATGAACTCGATGCTACCCACCTCAAAGCCTACCATTGCCGCCTCCCGCCCCAGCCGGCATCCTGATACCTAACGCAGCCCTCTGCGCCCTCCTCGCTGCTTCGGCATCAGCTCCCGTGCCGGCGCCCATGCCCACTGACGCCCGCACCTCGTCCACGCGGCCCCTGGCGAGGCTAAACGCTGGCGTGACCCAACCGCCGCAACTGCACTTGAAGCCCCTCCAGCTATATCGGCCCAAGCTAGCACCACATTTGTCACTTGGGCAGATGAGCCGGCCTTCAAGCTCTGCTTGCTCGAGTGTGGGACGCATCCAGCTGAGAGGCTCAACAAAGACATGCTGACATGCCTGCGACGCAGGCGACACGCCCGTGATGGGCTCGTGGTCGAGGACAAATGCCGATGTGGCCAGAACGCGACGGCATTTCTTACACCTCAGCTCCTTTTCCTGCCCCGTGCCGGGGCCTGAGGCGCCGCCCTTTGCTCTCTCCTCATCCTCGAAACGCAGGCGCGACGGCGCCTCGCCCACCGCCAGGCTCTCCTCCACCTCCCGCTTGTACGTCCAGCGCTGGTAGATCTGATGCTTTCTCCCACCTCTCCCTCCTTCACGGAGCAGACGATGACTCAGCATATCTTCGAGCTGCAAAAATAAAACTGGGTTGGGGCTCCGCAACCACGACGTGCCATGCCGAGAAGCTCGACAAGTTTTTGTGCGGCGTCGCTCGTCCTGTGACTTGTGCGTCGAACTCACGGAGGAGTGAGTCTCGGTCGCTGCCGGCCCCGCGGGCCAAACGAGCGGGGGGCGTTAAAAGGAGATTAGGGGGCGACGGGCGGGAATGAACTTTAATTTTCCATAAGACAAAGGACGGAAAACCGGCCCCTGGCTTTGCCTGCGCTTGAGAGAGACAGGTGCTCGATGGCAGGCACAGGCGTGATGGCATCGGGGTCGGCAGACCGTGGGTCGGCCGACAAAGCTGGCGCGTCGTTCTGGCTGGGACTGGCGGCAGCACGAAGACGATCAGCCTTGGCTTTGAATACTGGATCCTCGGTTGCCTCGGCTTGCTCGTCGCTGGCTTCATCGTCGCTGGGGGCAGTCGCATCACCCCCAGCCGCGACACCGATGACATCTGCCAAAACCGCAGCCTTCCGGCCATTTCTCACTGCTTTCTTTTCCCTCCTTCAGGTTTCGGATGGAGGGCATCGTCGATAAATCTCACTGCTCCTGGCAGGTGGTAGAGTAAATCTTCATCGTCCACGTCATCCACATCAATGACCTTGTGTCTGTACTGAGCGCTCCAGTCCTCTGACGGGTTGCACCGCACCACGGACAGCACGTGGGTGATGCCGCGATCACTCAGAGCGGTCGGACGTTTGAGTGCAAAAATCCTTGAGGGTCGTCAGTTGGCCTTGAACGCAACATCTGAAGGGGCACAATCAGGTGGAGCCCAGGCAACATACCCTCCCACGTAAAGCTCCTCGTCACCATCGATGCGATTCAAGGCCATCTCGACGCAGCTCCTTCGGAGAGATCCGGCAATGTCGTCGGTGATGTCGGCGCGTGTCGAGTGGTCGAGCCTTTCCATGTGCAATGCTAATGAGCAGCTGCTGCATCTGGTGACGGCTTCAGGGGAAGGAGTTTTACCCCTCACTTAGCGTAGTGGGGTGTGCAGGTGACGTAGGGTAGCGATGTGGACGATGTTAAATGTGTTGAACAGGATGGGACAGATCAATTTTCATGGCATGAAAGTCCTCTAATTTTTATTGATACCTGATGGGACACAGTCCGTCAAGGTCATCTCTGTCATCATCTACGATGACTTTCTTTCTATGATGGCCATGTTTTTTTTTGAATCTAAAGCTCGTATAACTGACTCTACCGTATTCGAGGATAATCCAGATTGCAAGGCAGGGAGGGCAATGCTATATCGGGGTGTCGACTCGCTAGAGCAATAGCACGCAGCCTGTGAAGAATCCGATGCTCACTGGTGAATCCTAACAATAATGTTCTTGCCCTTGCCCAGGCTCAGGTACTTCGCCCACAGGGCGGCCACTTCAGGCTGCTTGAAAGCAGCACCAGCCTCCTGCATTCACAACCGTCGTTAGCCATGGTCGAAGTGGAACTAAGTGTAGCACGCAAGACTCACCTCGAGGCTATCCCATCCGATGATGCCCAACCCAACAAAGGGCTGGTCGATGGTGCGTCCGCCAAAGGCCTCCTTGCCCAGCGCTTTGATGACATCCTCGAAAACCTTGCGAGCCTCGGCGTGCTTGCTCTCGTCCTCGATGTGGAGCGTCGAGTACTGCAGGTAGGCCGGAGGGGCCTTGTCTGCGGGAAACTCAGGCACCTCGAAGCGGCCGACCGCCGGCAGGTCGCCGGACTTCTCCAGGTACCGAGCCTTCTGCTCCTGTGACCATGCGGAGTCGGCGAACGTCTTCTCGTCTTCGGCCGTCTTGAATGCTGCGCACGTGTCAGATGATGACTCTTGTCATTTTGAGGTCCGCCAGCACCCACCGATGGCCTGGACAAACTTGAAGTCGGTCACGGGCGCGCCGTCCTGGCCGACAATCTGACCAGCGGTGACGCCTGCGACACCAGGCTGGCTCTTGATATCACTGAGAATCGTAGGCAGAGCAGCGAGGAACTTGTCCTGGCCCTCGGCGGGGATTTCAGGGGAGACGATGGACAGGATAGGCATGATGGCGATTGAGAATGTGTCAAGCAAAAAGAATACGAATGCTGGCTATTGAATGTTTGAGATGATGAAAACTGTGGAAAGGATGTTGCTGATGGTCGAGAGAACAAGAAAGGCCCCAAGTCAGTTGGCCTTGATCGTGCTTTTATGTTAGGCCAAATCCGAGCACCATACGAAGCCGCGCACATGGGCCCTTGGCAAGGCAAACTTGAGACGCAACGCGACGCAATGATGCTGTCGCGAGATTTGCCTCGCGAATTACGAAGCTCACCTCGGATTGCCTCGCAAGGGCGTGAAACTGCAAAGCATCAATCAATAGATGGCTTAGCCTCCCAACTGGCGGTCTGGAATCCAGGTGCGTCAGCGGAAGGCATCAGTCTGGCGTGGTTTGACGTCGTCGGCCTCGGTGTCCTGCCAGTCCCCGGTGTTTATGCCTGATGAGCACCGACCTTCATGCATATAAGGAAACCCTCATCCTAGCAGTCGGCCAGTGGCTGTGTCTGGCTTCTAAGCTCGAGGCTGCGTTGGACTGATGAACCGCAGGGACAGCAAGTGCGAGCACGACGTTTGCACTGCGAGCCTTGGCTTTTGTAGAAATTGGGCTTGCTCGAAAGCCATAATCTTGTAAAGTGACATCCAGTCCATCACAAAGAGTGGTTCATGCATTGAGGCTCCTCCCCGCGAGACACAAAAGGGAGAGACTGAGACAGGCAATATAAGCTTTGAGCCCATGTTCGGGGTGGACGTAGCGGCGCGGAGAACGGGAACGGGCCTAGGAGCGATACCGAGACCGAAAGCGAGTACACCATGTCCACCCGGCTGGTCCTCTCGGCCCCTGAAGGTCCAGAATGCAGCCCTGAATGCCGGCAATCGTGGGTTAGGGCTGCTCAGGTTCGAATACAATCACTCACGTCGCCAACAACGGCAGGTCTTACAGCTTGTTCACTCCATCGCATCGAGCACAATGAGGGTGTTGGCCTAAACAGGCGTCGCTCTCGGTCTGGCAGGATTACACCATGACACGGTTACCGACCAGTCATTTTGACATGCGCCGAACCGACTCCATCAACTCATCCACTGCTCTGACTGGCGTGCAGCGAGCCGACTCCGGCATTTCATCCATCGAGCACTTGGGGGTCCCGAGGACCGACTCCAGCAGGTCTGCCGCGTCGACGGCCAGTTGGTAAGCTTCCTGCAGGTGACTGCCACAGGGGCATGTATTCAGCATTAGGGGGGGTTAACAATAAGTGACCACAGGGGTTTGGACTATCTTCAAGAAGAGAAGATTGCGCCGCTCAAATGGATCAAGTCTCCGGTGAATGTGAGGACGGACAGCAGTGGAGAGGCCAGCGACAACGCCGCCGCCAGTGACAATGGCGAGGAGAACAACAAGAACACCAATGCCACCACGGCCAACGAGGTCTTGCACCTCTCTGTACGAGAAAATGCCAACACAATCGAGCTCTTTTCCGACCTTTTCTTTATCGCGAACCTGGAAACATTTACCAGCGCACATTCGGTCAACAACGTCAACACTCTTGTAGCATATGTTTCCTTTTTCAGCATCATCTGGTTCACCTGGTTCCAGATTACTCTTCACGATGTCCGCTTCTCCTTGGACTCTGGGTACGAACGCGTCTGCAAGCTGGCTCAGTTCTGTATCTTTGTGGGCTTTGCCTTCGTGGGGTCATCCTTCGACCCGGAGCAAGATGGACAAAACAATCAAGTACGAGGACGCCCGTCGCCGCCGCTGCCGCTTGAGACCTGATCATTCACGAATGAAACTGACATGTCTGTTAGAACTTTCGCATCTTGTGTCACATCCTCCTGGGTAGCCGCCTCCTCATGGTCATCCAGTACTCGGTCGCACTGCACTTCGTTCGGAGGCACACGGAGAGCATGACCTGGCCCCTTTCGTTGACGATAGGTACCCTCGTCTTTTCGGGGGGTTCGTTTCTCTCCATGACGGTGTCCTTCAATCCGGGGGCCAAACCTGGTCTGGGTATCTATTACTTGTACTACGTCATCTTGGGCGTAGAGGCGGCCCGTGACCCTCGGCATCTCAATCGTCTGGAGGAAGACGGGATTCAAGCGCACTCATCTCACAGAGCGCATGGGGCTTCTAACGCTTGTCATCATCGGCGAGGGCGCCATTGGAGCGACCAAGACGGTGGGCAAGGTCATGGGCAACGATGACGTGCGCCTCCGACGCACTTCTCTGATCGCCGCATGGTCTTGATTTTGGTTTGGCCTCCAAGAAAAAGCCTCCTTGGCGGACCAATTCAGGGCTAACCCGAAAGGACCGCGAAAGCTTCTCTCCTGGATGCTCTACTTGGCAACCCCCCCGAGGGGCACTTTGGGTAGCATCCCCCCAGCCGGTCTGGGCCGTGCCGCACTTTTCCCTTTCCACCCGGGCAAGATTCGGCATCGTCGAAGGCTCGCAGCAGATCATCCTGGCCGTGGCACGTGCTGCGCAGGTTCATCTCGTTCCGTAAAGATGTGCGGGTGGCCTGCATCGAGCAGCACCTCGACGGGGCGGCCCTCGTGCGCGCCATCACCAAGGCACTGGACGAGCTCAAACTCGACGACGACTCGAATGGCAGGGACTGGCTGCCCCGGATCCTCGACGAGGTCCGGACGCTCGGCAACACGACCGACGTCTGCTCTCTCGGCAGTCTAGGCGCCGGCACCTCGTCCCTGCCACCGGCCTTTGACACGCTGACGAGGACGCTGACGACGGCGCTCGCCGACTCGGTCAACCCGTCGTCGTCGTCCGCGGCCCTGCCGGCTCAGCACCCGGGCTACATGGCTATCTACGCCTACTACTGGGGCTCCCTGTCGCTGGCCCTCGTGTTCCTCGCCCTCTTCATCCTCATCACCCGCCGCACCGACCGGCCCTTGACCCTCTCGGACCGCGCCGCGCTCGCCGTCCGCGCCGCCGTCGCGCTCACGGCCCTGGGCCTCGCCGCCGCCGCCGCCTCTGAGCGCTTCCTCATGCTCTACCTCGAGAACGGCGCCACGCTGCCGACAGTCGCCGGCTGCTTTCTCATCATCGTCGCCTTCGACCGTTGGGCCAAGGGCGTCAGCGCCAGCCGCCTCAGGCGCGAGCTGACGGGGTCTCTAGAGTACTGGGATAAGGAGTTGCAAGAGTAAGGTGGAGAAGAACTTGGATAGCATCTGTAATGTGAAAATTTGTTTATATGGAAGATTGAGTAGCCTATAATGCTCTTATGCTTGAATCGTGACTGGCGCAATGTGAAGTGTTGCCAGCACGCAAGCGCTGAGAGTAGAGTCCGTCTAGGCATCAATCACGCCTGTGTCCGATCGCCACAGGTTGGGTGATGTGAAGAAGGCAAAGATGTCACGGACAGGCGTATGGGGCATTATCAGGCCATCGTGTGTTCATTGCCTTCCCCAGCCCTCTCAAGTCGAAAGTTCAATCACTGAGACACTACTAAATGGTTCAACTCGGTCCTCTTCATTGTGTACTCATATCCTGGCCTTTTTTTAAACGCACTAAATCAGTCCGCCACGCCCTCATGATGTTACTGCAGTCCGCGCGAGAAACATAATACGTTCATGCGGCCCAAGTCTTCCCTCCTCTGTATAACCCCCCATGATAGATGTCCATTCAAATGCAAGTCAGACGCGCCAACACCCGAACACCGCCTCGTTTCTCGAGGCACATGCATTGATTCACCCGTTGCCATGAGCACCCAACAATGAAAAAGACAAGAAAAGTCGTCCAAGGCCCACGCCCTACTTCCAACCGGGTAACGTAGTAGCGGATCCTAACAATCATGTACCCCCATATATACGTGACAAGGGAAAAAAAAATGACAAAAGGCCTATGTGAGGATGGTTTGTGGAGGTATTGAATTCACCCCCTTGGACTGTCAGAAACCAATCGAGCTGCATCGTGCGTGCAGGTGACTCGTTTCGCATGGCAAATTGGGCGAATGGGAGATGCGCGTGGCGTACCGAGCATGCTCTACACCAGACGAGGGGTCGGTTCGTTGGCTCACGCCCATCCTGTGCCACAGGCCTACTGTTCTGAGTGACGCCTCCAGCGGGAGATCGGCGTCCAGTCGCCGCGAAGTGATCCTTCGGAGGTCGCTTATCATGGCTCGTCAGAGACATCTGTCATGTCAGACGGGTGTCTGGTAGGACGGTGGTTGGCAGGGCGGAGCTGATGTGGGAAAGAGTCGATCTCGAGAAGCGCCGTCGAGATTTGAAGAACACCGAAGCCGGCACGTCGCAGTTGCCAGCTGGACGCATGCGCTACCACAGCAGGGGGGAGGGGGGGGGGGGGGGGCAACGGCGCTCACCGGGCAGCGGTTGCACGGAGCGCGCGCACACCCACACGTCAGCTGCGCCTCTGCACCGTGAAAAATCTGTGGTTTGGGATGCACAGCGGTGACACCGAGTCGCTGCTCCGTTGAGGTGACGGTGCTCCCGAACTTGTGCTGCTGCACGCCGAAGCCCCGCAATTCAATCCTTCTGGCCCTTCGAGTCCTGGACAGACGGTCGGGCCAACAGGCGGTCGGGTCAGCGGCAGAAAGGATTGCGGGTTTACCTTGGGGTTGGGTCCTCTTCGAGCATGCACGCGTTCTCCAGCATGTTGGTCCACTTTCCACTCGTTCCAGCGTGGCTATGCTTGAGGTGCTGTCTGAAGTGGTCGGCGCGGAAAAACTTCTTGCTGCTGTTGCACTCCCTGAACTTATGCACCTCCTGCAGGTGACGAATGCGCTCCTCCCAGTTCTGATCGGTAGCGTGTCGAGGCGCTGAAGCTCCCGGCCCGCGTCCGCTGCGTGGGAACTCTTCGCCACAGTAGCCGCAGCTGTCCGCTTCGCCAGGCCGATTGGTGCTGTCGTGAAATGCGCGGTCGTAGCTGCTCAGAGCGGAACAGCTCCAGCTGTGACGCCGCAACATGAAGACTGTTTTGGTGCCGCTCCGCCTCGTTCTTGTTCTTGAAGCGGTTACCGCAGAATGAGCACTCGTATTGCTTCTCAGCTTCGTGTGCACTATCGTTCGCCGTGGTCAGCAAAAAGGCCCATCCCCACCGTAAGACTGCATGATCAAACATGGACATACCCAAGCTCAGCCGCGGTCTCGAACTTTTTCGGCTTCTTCGGACAGCACTCGCACATGAAAAATCCTTGCATCTTGCGCCAGCGGCTTGCCAGCATCGCCCAAGCTTACGCGGCGACACCA